GCCAGACTTTTGACTAAAAATAAAATATATTTATCAAGTATTTGTTCATTGTAAGCCATGATATGGCCCAAAACAACCTTTGCATAAAGCTTTATCGCATGCCTTGCAAATCAAGTTAGACCTTTTTTGTTTCTCTTTTGTACTACAAAAACCACATCTCCGACATTTGCCTTGTATCGGTACATGTTTCCCTACATCTCTGAATGTGCCACTATGTGTTGTTTTTTTTTTTCCAAGCTCAACCGAACAAGTATAACTTTTCCTCTTCCTTATACAAAAATTACCTATCAGTTCAGTTGCTAATTTTGACCGAAACTTAAGTTGTGACATATATTTGAGTTTTTTGTTTTTTGTGTCCTCTTTGTAACATACAAAACTATTTACTATACAACAATCTAACATATAATAAAATATTTTCAACCACCAACGTCTCGACTTCCAACTTATATTATATGCAGCCATCAACTGATCAAACTTATCCACTCCCCCATATACATATTGTAATCAGATATTGATGCTGTGCAAGGCACTGATTCATGACTACCAATGGAATTTGTATGCAATACATTAATTTTTTCAGATCTATCATGCATGTTACTTACTACAATTACAGGATTTTTACCTCTGTCCTTCCATTTTGTGACTGTAATATCACCACTTTGAGCAAAATCGAAATCACCTCTTTTCATTGATTTATCAGACTGTAAAATATCTTTAGGATAAAACTTTCTATTTTTTCGAAATGTGCCACATCCATATAATTTTTTTTCTAACATTTTGCATTAGAGGTAAACTACTAAAAAAGTTATCGAAAAAAATACAATAACCTAGGCCTTCTAATGCACGAGTTAATAATAGTACAACATTCTCACCTAGGCCTAAAGTTGTTTCACCTCCAGGTGCTTTCCCAGTATATATATCAAATGAATACATGTATCCAGTAACAGAACGAGCTAAAACCCAAACTTTAAAACCTCGTTTAATTGGTTTGAGGGGCATGTATTGTTTCATAGTAGTTCTACCAGTAAACGCAATCATGCTTTCATCAACTGACATAAAACGTGAAGGCGAAAACATTTCAGGGAAAACAGCATTTAGATGTTTTATCATGGGTCTTATTTTATATAGCCTATCAAATTCTAAGGAACTTCTTGGTAATATTTTAGTATTATCATTCAAATGCAAAAACCTTATTATTTTTAAAAATCTTTTAATTGGCATTATGTCTGAAATTCTATTATTATGGAAGTTTTCATCATCCGACCAATATAACCTCATACTAGGTAAGCGATTAAAACCCATTATAATAAGAATTCCTATAACTGCTTGTAATTCAGGAACACTTAACATTAATTCAGTGTTCGATTGTGCAGCATATAAATTAGATTCATTTACTATCAAATTTAAAAAAGTTGTATTGACAAATAATGCAAAATAATTTAACATTATCGAATTATCTACTTCAACATTAAAACCAAATTTTTCTTTAAATTTAAATCTTGAAAAATGATTTGGTATTTGACCATTTTTGGACCATTTGAAATTTGAATTTTCTATCTGTGGATTTTCATTGGCATCATCATCATCTGTACTTGAAGTATCAGAAATTGGAGCAAGAGGTAAAAAACATATATCAGGGTCTTTATCTGGATCGTTCATGTCTTCACTTGAGCTTGTATTAGATAATTGTTCTAAACGAACTCGTTTAGCTCTTTTAGGCCTTAAATTTTGGTTTAGAGACACAGATGAGTCAGGACTGGGTGTAAAAGGAGATTCGATGTGAGTCTGTGGAGTACTGTGGCCAGATGAATTGAGTGATCTTGTCGATACACTGTTTGTTTGACTTACTTCAATAGGTAAACAGTCATCAGCGTCACAGTCCCCTCCTAAATCTGAATTCTCAGCTTGGTCATCTGTTATTCCATTTAACATACTTAATATTTCTGATTCATTCATTTTAATATGGTGTATAACAATCTAAAAAAATAAAAAAACAATATTACTTCATGTAGAATAGTGAAAATTACATCGTTCAAACTGTACTTTGCTAAAATTGATAAGTAATTTTTTACTATTGTCAAATTATTTTCCTTGCCGAACCAAAATTTAAGATTTATAAAATCAAATTTAACTCTAAGCAACAAATACAATTTAAAATATTATTCATATACACAAATAATGAAACTTAAATAATTATTAAAAATGATCAAAGTTTACACTGAAAAAAATGTATGAAAAAAAAAAATGTTTTTGTACACATATTTGTTATTATTGTTAGTAATTAAGTTATGATTGTGCACTAACCAAGTTAAATATGTTATTAACTAATAATTAACTTACCGTTAGAAGTCTAAAATGTAATACTTTGAGAAATACACATATTCAGACGTAAAAAATTTACATTGTAAGAAAAATTACATGCATTTAAAGCAAAGTGGTAAAATAATTTACCACTTAGACATGTTTACGCGATTCCCGATAACAAGATAACAACAACAACGTTTGGCGTACAGGCTAGCCACTCGTATGACATTAAATTACCCGTTGCATCAAGTGGTAAAACAATATACCTGTTTACGCCGGAGTAGTTCCTACAAATATGGCGGTTGACTAGTCCGACTCGCGTGTCGGTTTTAGGAGTGAGGTGATCTTCACTCAAATATATATATATATATATATATTACACGATAAATTGTAATAGCGCATTGCGCACAATAAATGTATTGAAAACTACAAAATAATTGAACATAATATGTACAAATAATTAAAGCGGGCGCCCAGAAAATCTAAATAATACTAATATAAATAATAATCAATTGAGATTACACACAATTCATAAAATAATAATAATAACAATACGAGTATGATAACTTGATAACAAATTGTCACCCGGTCCAGAATGTCCAACTTGACGGCAGTTGAATTCGATCCGAAATCATCTGATCGGCTACGACTGGTGGCTTGGGAAAAACCCGCGTGTTGATCCGCAAATAACCGCTGGGCACTTCGGATGCGACACGACGAAAATGTCGCGCGAAGAAATTACGACGGATTGCACGATGCAGTGGCACAACACGACGACACGGCGACAACGGCACGGGGGCGACACTCGGCGCGTAAGGAATTCACGCGCGGACAGTAGGCACTACAACACGGGAACGATGACCCGTAGAAACGCGGCACTTGTCGCGTAAACGAGCGTAATTTGTCGGCACGACGATACGGCCGCGACGGCACGTGAAAAAGACGATCGCACGAAATTAGTAACGACTCGACACTCACGAATTGTATCGACGCGCTTTGCGTCACTCACACACGAGTACAATAACCAAAGCGATCGACAAAGGCGTATATAGCGACACGTAATGGCAGACGTACGACTGCGCGAGATAGTTGGGTAACGCACACGCGAACTCGACGACACGTCACGTCGGGACCGTCACGAACGACGGAGAAAACCAAAAACGACAATCGGCACGTGAAAACGCGCAAATGCACCGATGTCGGATAATAACGCCCGTATCAAGCACGTCGCGCACAACGAAAAATACCCGACGCCGGAAAAAAACGGTGTTCCTGGGATAAAGGCGCGACGGCACACAAAAAAAGAGAGGGAAACGACAACCGACGCGGTCGGAGAGCGCGAATCGAGAGAGCAATATGCCGGAGCGAGCGGGACGCGTTGCCCCGACCAGAGATATTGTACAACGGATAACGACGGCAGCGACAAAGCTCGTTGACACTCGTCGCAACACAACCGCGGTATAACGCGAACCGGATGTCACCGGGCGGTTTAGTTTTTGGCGCGAACGCAAAGTGCGCGGCGCGAACAATACCAATAACCTATTGGTAGAAAAATAAAAAACTGCCTGGTAAATATAGCTACCAGAGACGATTTTAGAGAGATTTTAGTTTGCGACAAATCTGATGAAGTCATATATGAAAATTTTTTTAATGAATCTCATATTCACAAATACTACATCATTCGATGCTCTCTATACGTACGAACGTAGATATGAAAGAAAATTCCACTATTGTTGATAAATAACGATTTTAGAGAGATTTTAGTTTGCGACAAATCTGATGAGGTAATATATGAAAATTTTTTATAATAAATCTCATATTCACAAATACTACATCATTCGATGCTCTCTAAACGTACGAACGTAGATATGA